TTGTTTCCGCAATTGCGCTTGTCTCCGCCCTACCGCCCTTAGCAGCAAGTGATACTTCGCGGAAGCGACCGCTGCCGCCGCAACACCCGTCCCGCCGCCAGCCGCGACCCCCCCGCCTGGTGCGTCGCAGCGGGCGGCACGGTCTGGCGGAGCATCTCCGCACGAACGCACGGATAAACAGTCCCGGTTCCGCTGCGCGCACTGCTGTCGCCCGTCTGACGGGGAATTGGCGGCGGAATCGGCGGCTTCGAGCAGGGGAAGGCTGGGACTCGAAAGCCACCGCTTCGGGAGCGAAGCTCGTGCAATGGCGTCACGCGACGCGGATTCCGGAAGCGATGCGCTGCGCCCAGCGATGGCGCGACTCCGAGGTGACGCTGTGGTACGCGCGACACGGGTGTCGAGCGGGGCTGACGCGGGGGGAGGAAATGGCAAGAACTTGGAGAGACGTGGCTCGCCCGCTGCCGCGCGCGCGGAATGGCCGGAGGGCGCACCGGCGGAATTCAGTGAGGACTGTCCCGGGGATACGCGCAGTGACACCGCGGAGGAACGGCCAGGACCCTGCGTGGACGGCGGGTGCAACGCTGTCGATTCCAGTGAGCTATCGACGGGGGGACGAGTAAGGGAGGGGGATGACGCGGGTGTGTCGAGGCGCGAGAGAAGGACGCCGTGGACATTGGCGTGAACGGCGGGAGCAACGCCGTTGAGAGAGCTGGAGAGGAGAGTCGGCGCAGCGGGGCGAATTTTAGGGAAACGGACCAACTTGAAACGGTCCTTGCTAGGATTGCGACTGGCAGTTGGGCCGCTGGGATCCATCTGTTTGGACAAGCTCGTTCAGTTCGGTATTACGTATGGCTAGTATACGAATTAATTAGGACTAGGACTCGCATATCCAAGAACAAGTCTAGCAGTGGATTATGATTTCTTTGCTAGTCCAACACTCTCAAGTCCGTCAGATTTTCCCATCCCATTTCCTCCCCTCCTTGCAACCTCCCTGAGCTAGGCGGGTCGCTCGCAGCACGCACACCTTGCAGTTGCAGCGCGCCACGATTTGCGACGTGCGAAGTGCAATTTTCGAGGCTGACGAAAGCTTTTGCGATGCGTGAACTCTTCGCACTCGCCAGTCATTGGCACCAGCGAGGGAAAGGGGGTTGAGCCCTGCCAGCTAGGGCCCTGTTCTGTTGCCGCACCACTTGGTCCGTACCCCTCCGCACTGCACCAGATTGATGCTTCTTCCGGGGTTCCACCGGAGATCCTGCGAGCTTCATTTATGAGGGCGTATTCCTTGATTCTAGGCTCGGGATACTGAACCTCTTCCCGGACCTAACGAGTGCAGTGCAGTCCGTTCGCCCAAAAGAACGGTGAACCACTGGCGCACTCGTAATCCCCCACTCCCAGGCAAAATGGGTGCGGGACTGGTGCGGGCCTGGTTCAGGGTCAGATGGGGGATCAAGGCACCGCATCAAGTGGTGCGGGGCAGGGAAAAATGTTTTTCGTTGTCCTGGTTGGCTCGTTTGCTTTCAGGCCATCCAACCATCCAATTGCCATCGCAAGAGAAGGTTTCACGGTCTGGAAAGAAAACAAAAATACTTCCTGCCACTTTCATCGCCACTACAACAACTTTCGCCAACCAATCACTGCCCAGGACTACTTGTGCTGTCGCTACTTGTGCAATTGCGCGGAGTGTGGCAGGAGGCTGTGCTGCACCAACCTGGGGGTTTGATGGTTCGCGGAAGCCTGATGCCGCACCATATGATGCGGTGCTGTCCTGTCCGCCCCCGCATCAAGTGGTGCGGCAACAGAACACCACCTAGGCAGCAGAGCTGGTCCTTTCTAGCTGCGCTAAAAAAAAACCCAAAATCAAGGAAACAATCCCTGGTTGGCGGAAGATGCTCAATCACCTCGGACTGGAGTCGAGTCAGCCTGCCTAATCCTGGATATTATTGTGGTCGGCTTATTGGTGGTGTGGTGTGTGTGTGGTGGTGTGGTGTGTGACGGCCGAACCTGAATGAGTGTGGTGTGTGAGGGCCGAACTTGAATGAGTGTGGTTTGGTGTGGTGTGTGAGGAGGGGATTCACTGTTCCTCCGTGATGGTGGGTGCTGTTCGCAGCAAATGTCGACAGATGTTTGCTGACAACGACGACAAGTGGAGCGGAACAAGCGAGGGAAACATCCAGCGACACAAAAGACCAACTTCAACGTCACCATTCTGGACAAGTGTGTCCAGGTACAGTACCCCTGCCCGCTATTTGTTCCTTCTGCATCCTCCATCACCTGCTCACTGAAAGCTTCGTCCATTCCAAATTTCCACTTGCACCATCCTTCCTAAAATATGTTCAATATCGTATTGAGGTTAAGGTGATGAAAGAAACGCGCATAATGTTATAATAAACAATCGTTGTCGACTTTCCCCCAATCTGGACGATAAATTCTTGCTAAAACCATTTATATAATGACAGACATACTCCAGTGTTCGTGCTGACCTTTCTTGTTGATCTCATAAAGGTTGTTACCTAGAGTTTGCATGTACTTATAAGGAGTATGACCAAAAGAACATTATGACCCAAGTAGTATGGCATATGTACAGTATAATGACTCGCATACAAAGGGATCAGTAAAGACAAAATGCAAGCTTCAGTAGGCTTCAATAGTACTCCAGATAGTGCGGGAAAAAATAATGTATTGTGCAAAAAGTGAGCCCAAGTTTCACGCAAGGGCGTACTTCTACTCCTCGCCACTGGCAGGTAGTTCCAATGTGTAACCCCTTTCTGTCCTCAAACACCCCTCGCAGCTGCACCGCTCTGCATCCCTCCCCGCCGCTCACATGCATTAGACCCGCAACCTCCGCTTGTGCTATTTCCACATCCTCCTCGCTTCGAAGGAGCTTCCTCGGGATCGTTTTGCACGCCATAGTGGGGCAATCTTGGCCAGACGATGGGTGCTTCCCAAGACCGCGTCTTTCGGTGCATCGACGAACTATGCCGGACGCGCCGCGAAGGATCTCGTCGCCCAAAACGAAATGCCACGAGAGCGGCTCGGATTCGAAAGGCAGCACCCACCCGCCCAGCGGGGCCATGGCTCCGTCCCTCGACTGCCCACCCACACGGCGGACTCTAAAGATCGCAGGAGATTGATACGAAAGCTCATGAAACGCGAGCTTCTTGGCAGAATTGCTGGAAAGCTCTAGGGACTCATTTCCATCTGTGGAAGGCATACAGCAGTTGTCGCACAAAGACTCAGCACGACGGCAGCGGCTGAAGGTCTGCTGGTGACGGTCCATGTCGATCATAGTGAGAGTCGAAACTACAACTGACATTTAAAACCCGGGGTCCAAGACTTTCTAAGTTAGGAAGGTTGCTAGGGGCAAGAAACGTGACTGGCTCGCGAACTAGGGTGTTGAAGGTTAGCAACACGAAGGAGCTGAATGCCTCAAGAATCAGGTTAGTTTGTGTCAAATGATTGGGAGAGGTGAAATTTGAGAATGATCGCTACCTCCCATATATCTGACTCACACCTTGGGCCGAATGCAAGAAAGGGTAGGTTCGTTGGAGCTGGAGGGGAGGCTTGGCTCGGTGCTGGTCTGGCTGGCTTCAGTTCTGCGCTGTCGGCCCTCTCAGCTTGTGTCGACACTGTCGTCTCACCCCACACGTGTCCGCGGCTCCTCTGCCGGAATGAAGCTCATTGGTCGGGTGATACGAGCCCACAGTAAACATCAGCTGAAGTTGCGAAGAAAATGTTTCCTTTTGTCGATTTCTGTGGAATCCTGTCGCTAGTTGACCGATCTGATAGGAAAACCGCATTCAGGACAACCGTCCGAGCTGCGACATCGAGAAGTGAGCGATGGAAAGAACGGCTTTCGTTCAAGCTCAGACGTCTTTCATTATTATCGGGATGCTCGCAACAAGGCACCGCCCCGGACATTTTTTCACAACAGCGTTCTGCCCAAATGATTCCCAGAAAACGAATCTACGTGCAAAGGAGCTATCTTTCACACCCATGCCAAGACTTTTACTATTTAGCTAAGCTCAATACATTGGGATTGAAGGCAGCGGAAATTGGGTTCCAAGTTCGACATCAAAGAGCGAGACTGTCACAATCAGCTCCGATATCCCGAGAATCCATCTTTCGTGGGTGCTCCAGAAATTTCTCAAGAGTAATATGAATTACGGGGTGCATTCTTCCTAAACGAAAGCCTTGCTCCCAAGCTGGTAGGCCGGCCCGTTCAGACGTGCAATGATGATCCGCCGCACCTTTGGTTGACGTAACTGACGGATGTAACCCAGAACTTCGCTTCGTCGTCAAGCAACTTGTACGTTTCGCACGAGGAACTACACCCTTATTCTCACCTTTCTCACCATCGCGCGCACTGCGTACAGTGCGAACAGCTAGCGCGATGGTGCCCCTAACCGTTTCACAGGCAATTGTGAAGTTGGCGACAAACCAGGGTTGAGGTGGCAAAATCAAACAGTGTCCGCGCATTGCAAATGGCAAAATGCTACAGTAACACCAAAATTGCAATTGCAGATGCCCTGTCATTGTGATTTCGGTCGGTTCGTCTCATTCGTTGTCAAACGTGCAGTCAACAAGATCGGCCAGCTGGCTGGTATGATTGAGGCGACAAATTGTGCTTGTATGCATTGTGATAAGACCTCCTTCGGTGCGTTGCTGTCAGTCAAAGCGTAGAGGTCAGTCTAACATATGCCAGTCTATCGAGAATGAGGGTGTACCGTTATATTTCTATATTACAGGGTACACTACGGTTGTGCATTCATTCGCGAGGCTCCCTACCCGTAGCTCTGCTAGACCTTGTTGGCAGGACAGCTACCGGTATTCCACTATTATTAAAAGCAAATGTACAGAATATTCCAGTAGCAAGATACTCCATAACAGGAGATGACTGCATTGAAACCCATTTTGCCTGCATTGATTCATTATCAACAAAAAACCTATACAGATTTGTGTAAATAAGCAAGACATGCAGCAATACAAGCTGTATAAACATATCAACAGCAGGAACTCGATGGATTAGAGGCTTGGTTTGGCTTGTTGTGAAGCTGCATGCCAACAGGTTGCTGTGGAGGAGCCCCTTTGGGTAGCCTTCGTGCTGCAAACAAATACCATTGAAATGTCAGAGATGCAGTAAAACCACACATGGTAACACAGAGAAGCGGCACTAACACTGGAAAATTGTGCATGCACTGCATACCTATCTCATAGAAAAGCTCGTTGACGTTCGTGGCTGTTTTGGCGGAAGTCTCCAAAAAATAAAGCCGATTCTCTTCAGCGTACAGTTTTCCCTCCTGTTTCCATGCCCAGAACCAATGGTCCAAGTAAATAAGCATACATGGTTCCATGGTGACATTGACATGCCATAATATACAGCAAGACAAGCACGGACACAACAAATCGGCTTCATGCTTATGACAAACGGGTATCCCCTTCTTTCATCCAGAACCTCCCATCCCAACCCCCTATTCCCTTGTCCCTCATCCTCTACCCTTCCCCGCACCAAGACTCACCTCCTCAGAAACCTTCCTCTGCGCCTCCAGGTCCGTCTTGTTCGCTGCCAGGGCAATCACCAGGTTGGGGTTACCTGAGGGTGGCGCATGCAGGGCGCGCAGGAACAAGGGTGAGGCCGGGTACAACTTTAGGAACGGATGATGGGAAATATGATGATGGACGGGAACGGGACAACAGAAGGGAGACATGCTACAGATGTATGGGGAAACTGGGAAAGGGATATGCAGCATAGAGACAGGGGAAAGAGTTATGGAGTATGAGACTGGAAAGGGCTAAAAGTGGTGACAAATTCGGCACGTCAACTCGCGCCATTGTGCTCAGCTGTGCTCGTTGCAAGCTGATTGAGTGTGAACACATACCTTGCCGTTGAAGCTCCTGCACCCACTTCTTGGCTCGGGCAAATGAATCCTGAAGACGCACGTATCACGCACCCATACATGCCATGCGTCCCATAAGCCATGAGCACACGCAAGTAAGGAACGGCATTGCAAAACACATGCAAGCAACACCACCAGAAAAGGGTCAGAAACCGTAGTAGGGCAAAGTAGGTCACAAAAAAGGTTCACATGGAAGTAGCCCCCGCTCCTGGAAACCAGAGCAGCAGCAGCTACAGCAGCAGAGCAAAAGGAACGAGGCCCAGCGGCTCACAGTGCTGGTGATATCGTAGACGATAATGGCGGCCGCGGCCCCGCGGTAGTACATGGGCGCGAGGCTGTGGTAGCGCTCCTGCCCCGCCGTGTCCCAGATCTCGAACTTGACCACCGCGTCGCTCACCGCCACCGTCTGCGTCAAGAACGCCGCGCCGATGGTGGACTCCTGTGGTGGGGGCATGGCGGGCAGAAAGATAGGATCAAGATGGGATGGTGGGTAGGAATTGTAGGAACGAGACACACCCCCGACCAAGGTGGGTGAGGGTGGCCTGCCTGATAAGAGGTGGATAAGAGATGGAAGAGTATGAGACGAACAGTAACGGAGTGAACAGACACACGGAACTTCGTTGCAGCACGAGCCTCTCAGTCATTCGTGTCCGAGTGCCTTGCGCAACCCGCACCTGGTACTCGAAGAATTGCCCCTTCACGAACCGCAGCACGAGCGACGACTTCCCCGCGCCCATGTCGCCCAGTAGGACCTGCGCGCGGAGAGCGAAGAGCGGGGAGCGACGAGGAAAGCGAAGAGACGAGCGATGAGGAGCCAAGAGAGGAGGGCGATGAGGAGAGCGAAGAGAGGGGAGCGAAGAGAAGAGCGATGAGGAGAGCGAAGAGGAGAGCGACGAGCGGAGAGCGAAGAGAGGGGAGCGAAGAGAGGGGAGCGATGAGGAGAGCGATGAGGAGAGCGAAGAGCGGAGACGAAATGAGAGGGGGGATGTCGTCGACTTGAAGATGGTGAAACGGCAGGAGGTCACTCTGTGCACTGTCGATGACAATAAAGAAAAGTTGGGCGACAAGAGCAGCGTCTGCTGAGCGTCCTCCACGGCTACACCATAACACCCGACGATGGTATTTGTCCCTAATAAGGAACGATGGATGCTGTAGGGCAAACAAACTGCGGTGACGAACTGTTGCTTCCGTTTAAAGACGTAGTTCCAAATAACGGCTCGCTGCTGTCTCCGTCGCTCACCAGTTTTGCTTGCATCGTGGGAGCAGCTGGGGCAGCCATGGATGAGAGAACACGGAGAGTGAGGTATAATCGAGCGGTAACAACAAGTTGAGACCGAAAGAGAAGACGGAAATTTGTTAATACTGATGTCGTATCCTATCGCTGAAACGACCGAGGAAGGATGCGCGAAGAACGGGAAGAGTGTAGCTAACAAGCACACTGTAAACTAAAACTAATGACAAGTCACAGACGGTTGCTGGTGTGCTGCTGGAGTAAAATATTCGAGAAGCTAGGGTTGGCCTGATCGTGTGACTGGACTGTGTGGAGCGGAGTGGAGTCAACAGCAGCATCCCCCAGTTTTCCAAGTTCTGTGTGGAGGCGGATGATCCCATGTTCCAGTCCATAAAGTATTTTCATCTCTCTCACACCGTTTAAAAACTCTGGGGAACGTTCATAACCTCTCTTACAGCCAGTCACTGACGACGACTCAAATGAGGCACGCAGCAGGTCACATTCATCAGGCGGTGGATTTCACATTCACCTTTCTCTGCACTCGTCCGCATCTTTGCGCCCGCATGCCCGTTCTTGTGGGATCTCCGCGCGTTCACCGAACCTATGGAACACGGGTCAGCGCGCAGAAAACTCCCCCACGTGTAACCTCCCAGGCGAGAGGAGTTGTCAAGGCGGCCCTCGGCGAAGCCTCGCGAAGACGGTTTCGCGGGCCTGTCCTTGGAGAATCTCTCCAGCGGAATGCATCGCTGACGTCACGCTGTCAGGTGGGGGAAAAGAGCGCAGCTTCGCGCACGGATTTGGCTATGCGTTTGACGACCAATGGTATACGGCCGAGATATTCCAGCGAAACCGTACCTGAAGTTCTTAAAGTATATACAAGAGGTACAAATACTGTACAGAATCAAAACTGCTCAGTATCATGTATCCGCGTTATGAAGCCACACCTGACAGTTTTTGAAAAACAAACCTTGGAGTTGGTGCAGCGGGTGAGGTCTATCCGAAACCATGGCGGAATCGAGGAATTGATTCCTCCACCTCAGTTTAGCCACTTAGCAACAGCCCTATTTCTCTTCCTTGACCGAAGTAGCCAGGTCACAGCACCACGTGCCTTATATGAGTGTTAAAAGTTCGAGAAATAGCAGATTGCCATGTGGAAGGGGTTTCAGGGCCTGCAAGCGGTCGTGAAGGAAGGGCTGCAGGAGCTGGGCCGCGATGCGCTCCGCGAGACAGGCATGATCAAGGAAGCCGTTGCGCCTCGGCTAGCCGGGTCGGGCATCCTGGGATTGGTGGGAGCTCAGTCGGGAGACGAGCGAGAAGGAGAGGGACGAGAGGAAGAGGAGGAGGACGGATGGGGTCTGGAGGACGACGAGGGAGAAGTGAAGGCGGATGAGCGAGTCGAGTCAGGAAAAACCGAAGAGCCAATTCCCTTGTCGTCGCATCCTTCCGCCTCCGCACTGGAGCCCTCGCCTGACATTGAGCCTCGTGGGGAATCCTCGGACCACCCAGGCTCGGCTGTCGCTCCCGACACGAGCCTTTCCTCGCCGTCGCCTCGCGAGAATGATCTTCCCGCTACCGCGTCATCGGATAGCGGCAACGGTGGTGCTGTTCCCGATGCTGTGCCAGAGTCCAGCGGGCTCATGTCGTTTCTGGAACCCGCGCACGAACCGGAGGAGCGACTGGACACGCCCGTCGGTGAGAAGGATGACGCGGCAGGATTCACAGATGAAAGGAGACGGGGTGGCGATGCGGACGTTGCGGCCAGGGGAACGGAATCTGAACCGACTTCCAGTGAGGCTGGGAATCAGAGATCAGAATTGCCGGCGGAGGGTCGAGACGCGGGTGAGGCAGCCGCAGGGCGGGAAGGGGTGGCTTCTGCGGATGGGCAAGCGGAGAGCGCGGGTGGGGGGGAACTGGGTGGAGACGAGGGTTCTCCAAGGTGGGGGTTGGCGCGCGGGGAGGGTGGCGCTGGGGAGGCGGAAGGGCACGCGCAGGTGGCGGCAGGCGGAGCCGCAGACGGGGTAAGCGGGGATCGCCCGGCGGCGAGTGCAGCTGCGGGTGCCAGCGAGGAGGTGAGGGGAGGGGGAAGCGAGGAGGCGGAGGAAGAGGAGGATCGGGAGAGCAGCGGGCGGGAGGTGGCGTCGCTGCGGCGGCAGTTGGCGCAGCAGCGGGAGGTGAGCGCTGTGAGGGAGACGGCGCTCGTGGAGGAGCTGACGTGGATGAAGGGCGAGCTGACGCGGCTGCAGACGGCAGCGCGGGAGGCGGAGAAGGGGAGAGAGGAAGCGGAGAGGCGGAGAGCGGAGGAGGAGCGGAGGCGAGACGAGGAGGCGCAGAAGCTGAGCGCGGAGAGTGGCGCGCGGGAGAAAGCGCGGCGGAAGGCGGAGGGGGAGGTGGAGCGGCTGCAGGTGCTTTGCGCGCAGCTGCAGGCGTCGCTGGCGGAGGCGGCGGAGGGGCGCGAGGCGGACGCGAAGGCGCGCGAGCAGATGGCACGGAGGGTGGAGCGGATGGAGGACGAGCTGGAGGCGGAGCGCGTGAAGGCGCGCAGCCTGCAGGCGGAGATGGCGGACGTGGAGGCGGGCGCGGACGAGGAGATGGGGGAGCTGGAGGAGCGCGTGGGCGCGCTGGAGGCGCGCGTGGCGGAGGTGGAGGGGGAGAAGAAGGGCATGGCGCGGGCGGCGGAGGAGGAGAGGCGGGAGTGGCGGAGGAAGGTGGAGGCCGCGGAGGCCATGGCGAGTGCTGCTGCCGCCGTGCATAAGAAGGACCTGGAGGTGCGTGGTGGGCACACAGGAAGGGCCGGGGGTGGGCACAGAGCTCATGTGAGAGATTGCGAGGCGAGAGATGGAGGTGAAGGAGGCAGACAAACAAGAAGCTGGGGAAGTGAGCGAGCGAGAAGGGCGAGACAGCGGGTTGTTAGGGGCCTGAGATGGTGGCCTGGAAGGCCAGTGCGGGAGAGTGACCGTTCTGAATGGCTTCACAACATGTTAGGAGTCTCTGGGCCTGTGGGTTGTGCAAGCAGGTTTGTGGCTGGGCTGGGGGATTTCGGCAGAGAAACTCCATTCTTCCACAGAATGCCCAGTCCCATGCATTCGTTGGGTGTCCTTGCGTACGCACCTGGCCCTGTTTCCCATGTTCATCATCTGCCCGTGCATCCATGGATAAATCATCCCTACTCGTGCACAAGCCAGGCGGTGGAGAGGAAGCGGGATGCAGCGCAGCAGCAGGTGCAGAAGCTGCGCGAGGAGCTGGCGGGGGCGAGCAAGGCGCTGGCGGAGGCGAGGGAGGCGGTGCGGGCGAGTGAGGCGGAGAGGGCGGAGCTAGAGGAGGTGGCGGGGGAGAGAGAGGCGAGTATGGAGGCTGCTCGCACACAGCTCACTCACCTGCAGGCTGAGGTGCGTGGGGCGCCTGGTAGGGGCGTGGGGCGCCTGGTAGGGGCGTGGGGCGCCTGGTAGGGGCGTGGGGCGTGTATGAGGTGCATTGCTGCATCCCTGCATCCCCCTTGGCTGCTCCTCCCTCCCATGCGTCCCACCATGCCCTTCAATCCCAATCCCGCTTATTGCACTACCCACCACCTCTTTCACTCTCCCTCCTGTTCCCCCGCCACCCTTCCCCCCACCCGTCCCTCATACGTATTATGTCCTCCCGCCCATCCCTTCACTCTCCCCCTCTCCGCCCTCCTCTCATCGCTCCTCAGTTGGAGGTGGCGCGGAGGGAGGCAGCAGAGGGCGGGGTGAAGGTGGCAGAGGCGATGGCGGAGGTGTATGCAGCGAGGAAGGAGGCGCGTGCACGGGGCGTGCAGGCCGAGGAGACGCAGCAGCTCGAGGCAAAGCTCTCTGCCGCCACGGCTGCTGCTGCCAGCGCAACGGCAGAGGCGGAGGAGCTGAAGGGGAGGGTGGCGGCAGGGGAGCGGGAGGTGAAGGCCGTGCGGCGTGGGCTTGCTGCTGTGGAGGCTGAGCTGGCACTGGCCAATCAGAGAGCGGCGGAGGCGGAGCAGCAGGCCGAGGAGGCCAAGAGGCAGCGTGCGCAGGTGAGGGGGGAGGAAGGCAGTGTGGAGACGGGAAATGCGGGGGTGAAAGTGGAGTGTGATTGGGGAGGGGAGAAGTGAAGCGCAGTGCGGTTATAGCATGTTGGATTAGCGGGTCCAGTCTCAATGCCTCCCGATTATATGCCGTTTGAATCTCCTTGCTCCCTCCCTACCCCCTTTCCTCCTCTCATGTTGCCCCTCCGTGCTTTCTTTCACACCCGGGCCTGCTCGTCCTGGGTGTTCCTCCCATTCCTTGCTGTCATGTGTGCAGGCGGAGGGCACGAGTGAGCAGCTGAGGGAGGAGACGGAGCGGCGTGCAAAGATATTCAACGCCGCTGTCAAGGCTGCTGTCAGCAGGATACAGTCGGTGAGTCAGCACATGCAGTCGATGTGATGGGTCAACAGGACACGTTAACGAATTGAGCAGGATGTTGTGGGTGAGTCACACATGTCCCATCATGTCCCATCACGTCCCACCATGCCGCATCACTTCCCATTTACCTGCCTCGCCTCGCTCCCCAACACCCTTTTCCCGTCCTGCGCCTGCCTGTCTGCATGCGTGTTCTCAGGAGTTGGAGGAGGAGCGGGACGAGGCGTTGCAGCAGGTGCAGCAGCAGGGGGAGGCGATGGAGCAGATGAGACAAGACATGCGAGCTCTGGAGGTGATATTCACAGGGCTATGCGATAATGAAATCCACCGGAGCTGTGCATTGATTGATGCTGATGTCGTGCTGCATTGCAGTGACCGTGATGGCCTTCTTGCACCCAAGTTTGACTCTTGAATGGCCTTGTGCCCCTTGTGTCTCTTTCCTGTTACGGAGCTGCATGCTCTCCTGCACTCACTCACTCATCAGCCCCCCTCTTTCTCCTCCTAAACCCCTTACCCGCTTCCATTCCCCCCTGCCACTGCAGGTGCGGTTGGTGGAGGTGGAGGGGGAACGAGTAGCACTGGAGAAGAAGGGGGAGGAGGCGGAGGGCAGGGAGGTGCAGCAGCGGGTGGTGGTGGAGCGACTGAGGAGGGAGGTGGAGGAGGGGGAGGGGCGCTTGAGAGCAGCGGTGGCGGAGGCAGAGGGGGAGAGGCAGGCAGGCAAGCAGCTGCAAGGCAAGGTCAGTGCAATTCAGGACATGTGGCTTACCCTTGCCTCTTCTCCTTCAGAATCAACCCTTTCTTAACTTCATCAATCTTTGATAAGTGAATCGCCTGTTTGATCCTGGCTGGCATTGCATGGCTCTCCTTCCTCCCAGATACCTGCATGCCTTTGCACCTACTTCTGCTCAGCATTCTTTTCAGTCCCCTGACCTGCCCCCCCCACCCCCCTGCATGGCAGCTGGCAGAGGCGGAGGCGAGGAGGGCAGAGGCAGAGGCGGCAGCGGGGGCGAGAGAGAAGGAGGTGGAGGCACTGCGGCAGCAGGTGGCTGACATGCAGCGCGAGAGCACTTCGCTCAAGGTGCGAGTGTGATGAGGCGGGAGGAGGGGTGAGTGGGCAAGGAGAGATCAGAAGAAGACGACTTTGCAGGAGAGAGGGCGAGAGGGGCAGGGGCATTTGGGCATGGCTGGCAGGCAGGGTGTAGTGAAGGATCGACTTAGCAAAATCTTGTTCTCTTACTTTTCATTCTTCACACTGTGCCCGGGGTGCCAGGTGGCAGCGCTAGAGGCGTCCAACAGGGCAGGGGAGGAGGAGCGGCGGCTGCAGAGGAAAATCAGCGAGTTGGAACAGCAGGTGGCCTCTGCTGCTGCCCGCGCTTCCAAGGCGGAGGAAGCTTCTGAGAAGGAAGGGCCCAGGAGGGGGAGCAATGATGGCGCGGGGAGCAGTGGGAGCAGCACGGCAGTGGCGTCATCGGCCAAGGCGCGGGCGGGTGGGGGTGGGGGTGGGGGTGGGAGTGGGGGAGCAGGGTGGAGCAACCCGTTGGAGGGGTTGGGGCTGGAGGCGGTGCGGTGGAAGGATAAGCTCAAGGCGGAGGGCGAGGGTGACGTGGAGGTGAGTGAATCATGCAAAGTGGTCACGAGTGTTTGTCCCTCCGGTGTCCCTCTGGCCTCCTCCCCCCTGTCTAACTTCATTTGCTAGTCTCTTCAGGTTTCCTTCCTCTCTTTCATTAGCTCCCCCCACCACCCTCCATCTCTCCCCACTTCCCCTGATCATGCATCGCCGCAGGCCGGACTATCATCCGCCGACAAATTACGAAAGTCGCGACTTACGCATTCGAGTCAGAATCTGTCTGCCACGTCAGCAGGCACACTGGCCTCACTGGTTGGCTCGGCCCGCCGCCTCTTCTTTGAGGATGATCGTATTTCTGCTGCGCCTGGGAGAGTGTCTCGCCGCACCTTCCTTCTACTTGCTTATGTCTTCCTCCTCCATCTCATGGTATGTATTCCCCTCCTCAAGCCAAACATACATCTGTTTCCTCGTTGCATTATGGCCATGAAGGGCACACGCGGTTGTGTTTGTTTTACAATATGTACGTGCTTTGCTTTTTTTCACAGGTTATGGTCTCCTTCACGCATCACTCAGCTCCAAAATGTTCTGATGTAATGGATTTGCCTGGATGATACTTAAGTAACCGTGGTGGTTTTTCACCAAATAGCAGAAGTTGAGTTGAATGTTCATACTAGCATTAAGTAGTATGCAATATCATATCCTTTTTGTAACATTTTCGTCTAGGGCTGAAGGGCTGGATATGGTCCCAACGGGCATTGCTTCCGTGCCTGAAAGTAATGTCCTTCGGCTCGGGTCCCAAACTGGTCCCACATCTTTGGAGTGGTCTCATTGGTTTACTCTTTTCCGAACCAGCGGCATCAACAAGAAACCGAAAAAACAAACCAGGTTCGGCGGGTGTCCCTTTCGTCCACAGCGCGTATCGGTGACCCAGACTCCGCACAACACCAATCTCCGCAAACGCCTGTGACTTCCGCCCCTACATGTTGTAGCGTACCCCCTTTATTGAATCATGCCTTCCCCCAACCCCACCTCCCCTTCCGCCCTTTCTTCTCACTCGCTCGCTACCCTAGCGTGATGCTTGACTCCCGCGTCCTTCTATCATCCCCCAAGCATTTCCCCCCCGCCTCGCCCCGCCTCGTCTCGCCCCACCCCGCCGTTCCCCGCCTCGCCCCGATGCGCTGTTCACCACGCCAACCCTGCTTCAACAGCCATCTTTTCGTTCTGCTCCAGTCGAGCTCGCTGTGAAACCATTTGCTCTGCTCGTGTCGTGCTGCATTCATGGTAGTTCACCTCTTGGTTGCTGCTGCTGATTCTGTTAGATTGCCAAACTTGTACATTCGCGCATTCAGCGCGCCTACTAACTAGACGCTCGGATTGTGGCGGTAACCTTAGTCGACTATAGCAGCGTCCGTTCTTTCGACCGTGGTCCATCAGGACCCATAGCGGACCCATAGTGGACCCTAGTTGCAAGCTTTCAGCTTACTCGTGCAAAGCTGCCTCACTTTTTCCGTTGTCACACTGACATACACGCATATTCACTAGATGCTAGACTTAATGACCTCTTATTCCCAAACGCCTATACCCAATTTCCAAGCGAAGAAAAAGCTACTTTGTTATCCATAGAATATTGATTGCGAGCAACGCGTTTTAGACCGACAGATAGTTTCTTTTCTTCCCCTCTTCTCCCGTAGCAAGCTTGATCCTTCGGAAAGCGGATTTTCCTGCATCGTAGCCTCTATTTGCCTGGTGTTGAGAAAGCAAGCGCGACACGCAGACCTCCACTGCAGCCATGGCGGACCCTCCATCTCACTCCGGGCGACCGCCGCGCACGCCGCGGACCCCGACGCTTCGCAGCATCCCGACGTTGCGACGCGGGATGAGCAAGCGAGACTGGGAGCTGGAGAATGACGACAAGGAGCGACGGCGGCGCGAGCGGAAGGAGCAGAAGTTGGAGCGGAAGCTGCACGACCTGGAATCGGAGGATGACGCGGAGCGCAGCGAGGATGAACCCGGTCACCACCACCGTCGCAAGGGACCCAAAGTGCCGATGCTGAAGAAATTTAAGCAGACGATGAAGAAGAAGAAGTACCAGAAGCTTCTGGAGAAGCTTCAGGAGATTCAGGACGAGCGGACGGAGGAGGAGCTGGCGAAGGTGGGCGAGCTGCGGAAGGTGCTGGCGGAGAAGCACCTGCTGCCGCCCAGATTGAACGAGCACCACATGCTGCTCAGGTGAATTCAACAGAGGCCATGTTGTCAGGTTAAGGAGTACACTGCATGCTGCTTAGTTGAATTCAAGGAACACACGGCTTGCTGCCATGCCAGGTGAAATCAACGGACGATACATGCTGTTCGGGGAATTCAATGAGCATCACATGCTGCTCAGGTGAATATAATAACCACCCCATGCTGTTCAAGTGTTCCAAGAACACACTGCATGTTGCTCCCCTCTTTCTGCCCTCATCCCTCCCTCCGTCCGCCCCTCTCTCCGCCCGCCGTCCGCCGTCCGCCGTCCTTGTGGGGGGACGGCAGGTTCCTGAAGGCGCGCAAGTTCGACATGGAGAAGACGACGGAGATGTGGGCCGCCATGCTCCAGTGGCGCGACGAGTTCGGCGTCGATGAGTGCCTCAAGGTGCGTGCCAAATGAATTCCATTCCCCCGTTCCCCCATGCTCCATGCCTCCATGGCCCCGTGCTCCCATGCCCCCCCACGCCCCCACTGCCCCATCCCCCCACTCCCCACACCCCCATCCCCACACGTTCCGACGCCCCCACACCCCCACGCCTCACGCCCCACACCCTCACACCGCCATCTCCCCACACCCTCTCGCCCCTCACCCCTTACCACGGCGCGTGGGTGCAGTTCGAGTTCCCGGAGCTGGCGGAGGTGAAGCGCGTGTACCCGCACGGGCACCACGGCGTGGACCGCGAGGGCCGCCCCGTGTACATCGAGCTCATTGGGCGCGTCGACGCCACCAAGGTGCGCGCAGCAGGGTACAGTCGCGGGTCAGAGGCGGCTGGTAGCAGCGATCGAGAGAGGGTGGGAGGGACGCGCGCAAGAGGGCTGCAAGCAAGAGGGGGTATGCCCTGTTGACGCTACCGATGTTGGAAGGGGGGAGGGGGTGCGGCGGGGGCAGGGGGCAGGGTAATGGGCGGGTGTTGAGCAAGGATGGGAAGAGGGGAGGTGAATAAAGCTGGGACTGAAGGAGAGGGGCTGGAGAGGGGCGGCAAGGAGGGTGGGTGGAGGGATGCTTGAAGGGATTGAAAGGCGCATAGATGGTGGTGGGAGTGGTGTCTCGTGGTGGCGTCCAGGATACAGCATCTTGTACTTGCCATGCTGTACCCCAGCCACGTGGTGCCATGCTGTACCCCAGCCACGTGGTGCCATGCGCATTGCTTGTGTGTGATTATGGCGTGGGAGCCTGCCGGTGTGTGCCGCATGGGGCATGGGGACATGGGGAATGGGGTCTCGTACATGGTGCATGGATCATGGGCATGGGGCATGGGTTATGGTGCATGGGGTATGCGGCATGGATTATGGAACATGGGGTATGGTAAATGGGCCATTGTGCATGGTGCATGCCGCATGGGGCATGGTTGATGGTACGAGATGTTGAATATGACATGCCTCCGTATGCTTGTTCGTGTCTGCGGTGTCACCGTTGCTGGTGTGGCGGGTGCTGTTGGCTGGGCAGGTGCTGGGAATAACAACGATGGAGCGGTTCCTCAAGTACCACGTGAAGGAGTTTGAGCGCACCTTCGCCCTCAAGTTCCCCGCCTGCTCCCTCGCTGCCAAGCGCCACATCGACCAGACCACCTCCATCCTCGACGTCGCTGAAATGGTGCGCCCCCCTCTCATGTTCCCGCTGCTTCCCTTGCTGCTACTTCTGCATGTGCAGCCACCTGTCGTCACCTCCCACCTCGATCTCTGCTGTCAGTAGCATGCAGTGCTGCATTCAGGCGCGTCTCATTGTGCCCCACATTGTCCCACTCCCCACCCCACATGGCACATGGCACATGGCACATGGCACATGGCACATGGCACATGGCACATGGCAGGGCATGAAGAATTTCTCAGCAGATGCGAGGAACTTTCTGGCCATGGTGTCAAAAGTAGATGGCGATAATTATCCAGAGGTATGGGAGGCACTATCTTGGGGTGATGTGCTGCACTCATGCATGTGATGGCAGTACTTCCACCACATCAACTCCATTCCCCATCATCCCATCCGCTCCCCTTCCTATGGCCCTCGTCCTCCCATAGATGCCTCCGTTCCTATCCTACCCGCACCTCCTCCACTCATGCCATCCTCCGCTGCCACTGCCCTTGCCCCATGTCCATAACCACCCCCACTCCTCTCTCCCCCCCCAACCCAACCCACGCCCCAGACGTTGAACCGGCTGTTTGTGGTGAATGCGGGGTTTGCGTTCCGCTCGCTGTGGTCGGGCATCAAGGGCATGCTCGACCCCAAAACCGCCTCCAAGATCCAGGTCCGCCTCCCTCCCCCCGCCCCGCCGCCTCCCTCTGCCTGCTACCCTGCCGACCTCTTGCTCTCTCTTTTCCCGTTTTGGTGCCACCCTTTGTACGCCACTCTCCACCCTCCCTTCTCACCTTGGCTTGTCGTCCACACAACCCTTGGATGGCTCCACCCTTAGCCACGCACATCTATGCTCCCATCCGCCTGTGGGCACTTCAAAGTGCCTTGTCAACAGCTCCCCTCCCTCCTGTTCATGTTTGTGCATGTGTGTGTGCATGTGCGCATGTGTGTGTGTGCGCATGTGGTGCGTGTGTGTGCGTGTGTGTACCTGTGTGTACCTGTGTGTACCTGTGTGTACCTGTGTGTACCTGTGTGTACCTGTGTGTACCTGTGTGTACCTGTGTGTACCTGTGTGTACCTGTGTGTACCTGTGTGTACCTGTGTGTACCTGTGTGTACCTGTGTGTACCTGTGTGTACCTGTGTGTACCTGTGTGTACCTGTGTGTACCTGTGTGTACCTGTGTGTACCTGTGTGTACCTGTGTGTACCTGTGTGTACCTGTGTGTACCTGTGTGTACCTGTGTGTACCTGTGTGTACCTGTGTGTACCTGTGTGTGCGAGCGCACAAGCAGGTGTTGGGCACGGATTACAAGAAGAAGCTATTTGAAGCCATCGACCCCAGGTGAGGGCCACGTGGGGCTTGGCACCCAGGTGAGGGCCACGTGGGGCTTGGCACCCAGGTGAGGGCCACGTGGGGCTTGGCACCCAGGTGAGGGCCACGTGGGGCTTGGCACCCAGGTGAGGGCCACGTGGGGCTTGGCACCCAGGTGAGGGTGCTTCAAAATGAGGTCACAGGCGGTGGGAATCATTTGGGCGAGGGGTGGGCCATACAAGGAGTAACCCATACATGGGCTGATCCAAGAATGGGGCGACCATGCAGGCTGCTTGCAAGGACACATTCCGTGGTCTCCCATGGTCCACCACGCACATGGCTTCTGCTCCATTCCTCTTCCTACTCAACCACACCATCCTTAACCTCCCCCTCGCCGCCCTCCCATGCTTGCCAGTCAGCTGCCGGATTTCTTTGGCGGCACATGCACGTGCGAGGGCGTGGAGGGCGGGTGCCTGATGTCGGACAAGGGCCCGTGGCGGGACGGGGACATCCTCAGGGTCGTGCGCCTGCAGCGCACGGGCACCCTCAGCGGCGGCAACCCCGAGGACTTGCTGCGAGGGGGGCGCATCCGCTGGCAGTCGGGGCAGTTCAAGGTGCGCGTGGGCCTGTGGGCGCTGCTGTGCCCGTGCAGCGCTGTGCACTCCATGCCTCTGTGATTGCTCCGTGTGGACGATGCGTCGCTCATCAGTGGGTTTTTAACCCGTGTCTTGCCGTTTATAGATCTTCAAAATCCCTTTCCTTTCCAACCATATACCCGCCGCCTCTGCCCCCGTGACAGATGGACGCGGAGGACATAGGCGACACGGGCAGCGAGGTGTCGGACCTGGACGACCTGGGCACGCCCTCCTTCAGTGGGCTCACCACGCCCAACTTCACCCTGGGCCAACACGACCTGCACAACCTCGACCTCGTGCGCGCCCCTCCCTCCCTCCCCTCCCTCCCTCCCTCACATCTGCACTTCCATCATCCATTCCCCAGCCTCCAGCATGCATCATTTATAGAAAGCCTCCATCGTCCATCATTCGCATGTGCAAAACGCGTACATGTTGCAACCCTGACCATCCGCCTGCCTTCGACATTCCTCCAAGCCGTCTGCCTCCTCCTCCTACCTCTCACCATCCCGCTTTCCCCCCACCACCGCACACCTCTGCCTCCCTTCCCCGTCAACAACCCCACTCTCTCTCCCCTCTTCCCCCCCCCCCCCCCTTCCCGTCTCCAGCATCTCAACTCGCTCAACTCAAATCCGTTTTTCAACGACCCCACCACGCCCTCCTCCGCCGCCGCCGCCTCGCTCACCCACGCCGCCTCCGCGCGCCGCTCCGCCAGCATGCAGCGCCGCGCGCCCGCCTCCACGCACCGCGCTGCAGGGCCGTCCCTCTCAGGCTCCGCCACGTCCAGTGATGACGAGCGCGAGGTGTCCCGCACGGGGTCCGTGGCATCGGATGACCGCAGCGGCGAGCTGAGCTCCACCGGCATGAGTGCGGGCGCGGGTAAACGGCTGAGTGTGGGCGTGGGGGAGGTGACGTCTGGGGCGGGGAGCGCCGGTGGGCGGGCGAGCGGCACGCCGGGATCAGCTGTGTCGGCGTTGAGAGCGGGCGGCAGGGGGAAGCAGGTGTCGACTCCGCCATCCAGAAACTACGGTGGGTAGCTGGTGGCTCTCATTCTGCTGCCTTACTAGACTCACAAGTCCATGCTGGTTTGTGCCTGCCTCGCTCACACGGTTGAACATGACCCGCCATGCCCCACTCTCCCCTCCATCCCTCACCCCCAACACCCCTGCATGCCCCCCGCTCCAATCCCATCCCGCAGGCACATCAGCATCAGCATCAGGCGGGGCAGCCCTGGCAGGCGTGGCCATGATGGCGCCCTCGTCCTCCCCCGCGCCCGACTCACTGGCAGCAGCCACGGGGCTCGTGTCGCTGCTCATGTCCTTCTTCTCTGCCGTTGCCAACCTGCCGCTCCTCTTCTCCCGCATCGTCATCACCGTCACGCCGCCCGCTCACCGCCTGGAGGGCGGCAGCGGGGCGGGAGGGGGGGCGATGGCGCCGCCCGGGGCGCAGGAGATGCTGACGCCGGAGCAGCTGCTGCGGCGCGTGCAGGAGCTAGAGAGCCAGGTGCAGCGTCTGCTGGTGCAGAGGGGCGGGGCCGCGGGGGCTGAGCCTGGGAGAGCCATGGGGCAGCCAGGCCAGAGCCAGGTAGCAAGGCGCCTGCTACATGCGCTTGGGGCTCGTAGAGGCGCTGGGGCTGGTAGAGGGGGCAATGAATGCTGTCTATTCGAATAGCACCGACATCACAGTTCTTGTTGTCTTGCACATGCATCGCTGGCCTGGCCTTTGAATATTCTGCCGCACTCGTTCTTCCTCTCCTTCCCGCCCTTGCTGCTAAGCTCGTCATTGCAGGCTCTCAAGTGATGTGATGGCCCAACACCCCTCCGCCCCTCTTCCCCCCACTGTGCCCCTGCAGGTGGAGAAGCTGGCATCCAGCCCATCCACGCCCGCGCTGGCCCCGCGCCCAGAGCCGCCCCCCCCGGACTGGCCGCAGCCGGCAGTGGAGCGCGTGACGGCCCTGGAGTCAGAGCTCGCCACCACCAAGAAGGTGCGCAGGGGGGGGGAGGAGGGGGAGGGCGGGTGGTGGGTGCGGGTGCATGGTGTGGTGGTAAGGGTGTCGGTGAGAGAGTGGGTTATGGGTTGTTGGGTCAATGTGGTTCAAAGTTCAGCTGCTGTGTTGCACGCGCCTGCCATGCTGAAGGGGTGCCGTCATCACCTTGCCGCTTCCCCCTCTGGCTGCCCCCCTCTGCCTGCCACCTCCCTCCCTGTCTCGGTGCAGATGCTGAAGGAGCTGTTGGACAGCCAGGAGCAGCTGAGAGTGCTCATAGAACAGCTGCAACTACGCAAGGTGCCTGCCCTGCCGACCCTGTTTTATTCGATGCATTTACTTATCCACACATCCGCAATTATGCAATTATGCACCACGTCTCCGTGCTGTCGTGTGCATGCTACGCTAACACGCGCCCTCATCTAACTCCACTATTTTTTTTCCTCATGTGCTTTGTCGGTCTGCCACATCTCTCCCTTCTGTGCATGGGTTACCAGCAACGGAGATTCGGCGGGTGCTTTGGTTGAATGGTGAAGCAACCCGCACAGGAGATGCTTGTTTCTTTCCAAAGCTTAGTGGTTTTGGAGTCTTAATTAAAGTTGATGCCAATGTACAACACAAAAGGGTGTGCTGCGAAATGTGTTAAATGAAGTATCTTGTATATGTTTTTTTTTTATGACGCGCCTTCTTTCTCACTTCGTACAATTATACACTTGTACATATTTCTCTGCTACAGTAAGAAGGTGCTGGCGCAGGTGACTTTCAAGCAGGTCCCATGTTCGGGCAGGTGGGTCTTATGTTGCGCCTCCTCCCGCTCCGCGCATGCGCAATCTTCGCACCGCTCTCCGTTCGCCGTCGCTCCTCCTCCTTCCGTTCTTCCGCCGTGTACCCCTCAATTCCACCTCCACCAATTCGCCCCTCCAGTCACAACCCCAATTGATTGCTGCACCCATCAATTCGCGCCATTCATCTCCATAACTGCCAAAGCTTCCCCTCTACCCTCCTCAACCTCACATCGATTGTTCATGTAGTGGCTAGATTTTCCGCTCTGCCTCGCAATCAGCATATAGTAAACCTTCAGCGACGTGCGTTGCGTCCATCTTCCCTGGGGCCCGCGGCACCCCTTCTGACAACTCTTGGAATCCCGATCGCCATGGTTCCTTCGTTCGGCGCGCTTCGATCAGTCGCATTGGCGACGATCGTGCTTGTCGCCAGCCATGCCGCCGTCGCAAACGCCCAGTTGAGTCGCAAAAAAGCCGCAAGCACTCTCATTGATTCAGATTGCGACATTTGGTGTTCACAGCTTCTTTTCTTTTCAGATTTGCGATTGAGTCGAATACAATCACCATCGCCAGGCCACCACCAATTCTTCTCTCCCCTGGCACCAGTCACCCTCCCCGCGCTCATCAACGTCTCCCCCTCTCCCGCCGCTTCCGCGCGCGCTTTTCCCCCCGGCCGCAGGTGGGGGTGGGCGCAGGGCGCGGGGGAGACGCAGCTGCGCGCGGAGTACGACAGCCAGCTGTTCGACGGCGTTGTGACGGTGCTCGTGACCACCGATGAAGTCAAACTGCTGGTGAGCCGCGAGTCAAACTGCCTCGATTGCGCGCATCGCCTCGATTGCGCGGATCGCCTCTATTGCTCGCATCGCGTCGAATGCCATTGTCACTCATCTCTAACCGCAACATGTGGTGTGGCTGGCTGGGCATGGCGCATGGGGGCATGGGGCATGACGTATGGCGCACGGGGGAATGGGGGCATGAGGCCATGCCGTGTGGCGCATGGTGCATGGGGCATGGTGCGTGCGTGGAGCGGGCAGGTGCCGACACCGGACGAGCTGAAGAAGCCCAACCCCACCTTCGACTACGCGCCCTACCGCGAGCGCTTCCCCCTGCCGCAGGGTGAGTAGTGCAAACAGTGAAGAGAAGAGGAAACCGCAGCTCCCATGCTCTCATCCCCCATGCTCTCAGCTCCCATACCCTTCCCTGAAATCCACACGGCATCTACTCCCCCATCGGCCGCCCCTCCTCCCATCACATCACATGAAGCCCCGTTTCCCCCATCCCCCCTGTCCCCCCTGCCCCTTGGCCCCACACCAGGCTCGGCGCGCTTCACAGCCATCAGCCACGTGGACGTGTTCTACGACCCGCTCGGCTGCCTGCCGCTGGGCGACCTCGCCGCCACGCCCCTCGCCGCCTCCACCGCTCTGCAACGCATCCCACCGGGCGTGCAGCACATCTGCCACTCGTGCTTCTTCTACTTCACCTTCTCCTTCCTCTCGCCGCGTGATGCCGACGCCGTGGGAGCGGGGTGCCAGCGCATGTCCGACAGATACAGTGTGTGCGCGCCTGACAGCATCCCTGCTGCGTTTGGGGCGGCGCCGGGGGGTATTCCCGAGGTGCAGCGGGCGTCGGGGTTTCTGTTTTCCGACTCGGGGCTGGCCGAGGAGGACAGGACCTTCAAACTGCGCGAGCCCTCCCGCTCCCTCGCCCACATGTGAGCTGCCTTATCCTCTCACCTTCCATCGCTCCCATCACCCCCCATTCCCCCCCGTTGCCGCACCTCCCCTCCTCAACCCTCCCTCGCCTCTTATCGCTCCCCCTCACCCCGTGCCCCCAACACAACCCCGTGCTCTCCCCTCTCTCCCCGTCCATCAGAGCACTGCCGGGGGTGGGGGCGTTGCTGACGTTCAACACGACGCCGCAGTGGGACGAGGCGCTGCAGGTGTGGCAGCCCAAGTACTACCTGGCCACCAACGGATCCAAGGTGCTGCCAGGCGCCACAAGAGGGCGGAGGAGGGGCATGTGGGAGTGGGAAGGGCAAGATGGCATAAGGCGGCGTGGGAGGGGATGTGAGGGGATGTGAGGGGATGTGAGGGCGTTGAGGCATCCAGCATGCAAGCCTCCCACCCAATCACACGCTGCCGCTGCATCAACGTGCCTCTCAGCTGTTCTCCTCACTCCACCCTTCCCCTCCTGCCCCCTGACCCCTGCCCCTCACCTCCTGCCCCGGGCCACCCTCCCCCATGCTGCTTGCGCACCCTGCTCTCATCCCAGGTGGTGGGCGTGGGGCAGGCGGTGACGACAACGCTGATCAACGAGGCCTACGTGGCGTACGAGACCAAGCGCACCACCTACGACGCCTACACGCACGCCCTCCTCTCCCCCGCCTCTGCCGCGGCCACGTATGGCGCGCTGGGAGTGGCGGGCGCCTTCCCCAAGGACCTATCCTTTGCCCTCGCCTCGCCCCGCCAAGGCACCTTCCAAGTCGTCGCCTCTGGCTTCTCCCAGGTGCGGGGGGAGGGGGGGGGGGGGGGGGAGAGAATAGGGGGGTGGGGGGGAGAGGGGGGGGGGGGGGAGGGAGGGGGCAGGGGCAGGGGGCAGGGAGAGGGGGGAAAAGGGGGAAAGGGGCAGGGAGTGGAAAGTGGGGGAGAATGGGGGTGGTTGATTATGGAGAGGTGGATTGTTGAGCTTAGGTAAGAGGAAAGGGAGGAAGCGAGCCATGTGTGTATCCAATATGCCTGCTGCGAGTGAGGGAGATGAAGAGTGACTGAGTGTGGCCGTTCTTGCACGCCCGTGTCCCATCTTCCCATGCCTCTCTGCACTCCAGGTGACACCCAAGTCGGCGCCTCTCCATGCAGCTGTCTCCCTCTCACTGCCTCTGGCAATCATTGCTGCTGCTCTTGCTGCTCTCCTCTGATTTAGTGCTTTGAATGTAGCTTCAGATCCTTGTTCCTCGTAGTGGTGTAGCTTGGTGCACTGGGATCCAGTGGGTGGGTAGCTAGCTGCACTGCACACCAGCTACTGGGGTATTAATCCTTGGGTGGTTGTTGGGTAATAATCCAGTCAGCCAGTTCTCTTACCTAGGTGCTGGTTCAAAATTTCACTCACTGGCAATGCATGACCCTGTATACAAGTGACTGTACAGTTCCATGATCCATCTTGTCAAGACAATAGCATGGACATATGGAATGTAGTAGCCGAAAATTGAACTGCTCCCTGCTTCGGAGTATCATCTCATACGGTATAACGGCGCACGGTTTTGTTTCAGCTGCCGCAACGAATTGTCATTCTAGGGCAATGCTTTCGTGCGACTGCATTTCTACCTTGCCTGTCACCCGACCCTTCCATCTTCACAGCGTCGCACAGCGCGTCGCAGAGTTCAAAATGCGTCGACAGCCTCGCGGGTCGTAGGATTATAAGCGGGCGGAGAGCATGGCGGTGGTTGCTTGGTTCATGCTGAGCGGCCGTGGCGCGGCGAGACGGCGAGATGCCGCGCTCCGCCAGCACGGGAACGGCTGCGAAGCGCTTATACGCGGAAGAACGAACGAGTGTTGTCGAGCCCCGGCTCCGCTCACCCGCTTACCGTCCCCGCGCAAACCGCGTCGTGCATCCACCCAAGGCATCATTGTTTCCGTTTCCCTTGAAATCAGGGGCGTTCCGAGTCGCTGACCGAGTCGCTGACCCGTATGCACGAAAGCAGCGCGCACGATCGCGCTACGCGGAGGTGCTTTCGCGGGCGGAAGCCGGGTCCGTTGGGAGTGCGGGTTCGGACGGGAGGGGAAGCGAGCCACGAGTGTGCGAGCACTTGCTTTAGCGTGGGTCGCGAAGCAGGGTCTATCGCAAGCATTTCGCGGATGAGTCGCTTGGCGTCGCCAAACAGCATGATCGCACGCACGGTGAGGGGGAACCGCACCCGGGCGGCGCGAATCCGTTGCAGCGTGTCGTGGTTGGAGCGCCCGAGGAATGGCTGCCGGCCGGTAAGCAGCGAGTAGAGCAGCACACCCAGACTCCACACCTCCAGCGCGCCCAGCGCCGCCTCGTCCGCCGCCAGCGCGGAGGCCGCCGGCGGGGCGAATCGGGAAATCGATGTCGGCGCGAAGTGAGCAGCGCCTGTGGGGTTGGGAGGGTGAACCGCGGCGGCGCCCGTCTCGCTGCACGGCGGTGAGGGCAACGCGGGAAGCATTTCGGGGGCGAAGAAGCAGAGAGGGCGGCAGCACGGCTCGTTACACGATCCGAACAGCAGACTCGACGATTTCACGCTGCCGTCTCGCCGCCCGCTCCGATTCCGGCTCAAGCCGCATCCCCGCGCGCCCCCTGGCATCCCGGTGCTGGTTGCGGCGGCCCTGGTGGCGACGATGGTGTTGACGAGGCTGCGGAAGATGAGGCGCGCGTCGCACTCGGGGATCGGCCCGGCGACGCAATCGGAAAGCATGGGACTCTGCGCCGTCCAGTCCGCAGCCGAGGATGCATTGCTGTAGCTGCTACAGCTGCTGCTGCTGCTGCTGCTGCTGCTGCTGCTGCTGCTGCTGCTGCTGCTGCTGCTGCTGCTGCAGCTTCGGACAGAGCTCGAGCGCGAGTAGCACGAGGTGCGATGGGCACGGGGATCCGCGCGGAGAGGTTGCCGCGGATGGACCGGAGGGGTTTGCGGGGCGCCTCGGAGAAAATGCTGGTCGAAAGGGGTCTCGCGCTGCCATGGCTGACAGCTGCGTCGAGCTTGCTTCACACGAACAGCAGCTGCGTGGGGGGGGGGGAAGATGAAGGAAACAGTGCTTATGGCGTGCCTCGCCTTCTCCGACCACGGAATCGTGCTGGCTGACCAGAAATATTTATGGTGGTGGATGCGACTTTTGGGGCCAAGAGGGAAGCGTGCCCCTGTGCATGAGAGCTCTCCTTCCCAGCAGCACGCTGCGGTGTGCTGTCTGTGTTGAGATTGGCATGGACGGGCCGAGCAGGTCGCGGGCCATGCTGGTGTAACGGATGGCTTGGCATGGCGTGGCGATGGCTGGCTGGCGACAGCACAATCAACTGAGGCCAAGTGTCGAGTTTATAGGCGAGACGGGAATTTGGGGGAAGAGCAGACATGTGTACGGTTTCGGAATTTGAATGTAACCGTAGGGCTCGATTGCCATGCCCGCCTCTCATCATCTAAGTGTACACGCAGCTTGGTATTTTGCTGTAATTTGAGGATGATTTTACTTGGAGAATATAACAAAGCCTGCCATCCCTAAAGAAACGGGATTGCTGAAACGCAAAGGGCCCGGCACGCGAAAGACGACGGGCACATCCGACATTCCAAACCACCAGAGGACGTTGTCTTGCCCGCTGTCATAAAAAATAACTGTATTTCTGCCACCACAACATGGATCTGGTCTGGCTGGACAGGGGGGGTTCCCTGAATTCACCAGCTTGCTTGGGGCTTGCTCGCTTTTTGCGGTGACCGAGGGTCACCGCAGTGTCCGCAGGACAAAAGGACAAAAATTGGAGCATGAAATGAGATTTGCGTGAGTGTCGCATCGCAATTGGTATGGAAGTTCTCCGATATTAAGTTCCCGAACTTGCCTCAGTTGCTTGAATACACTTGCGCGGCATTCAGTGTATGTTTCTCCCAACGATCTGTGAATTTGTTTTGCTGGTGTGCGTACGACCTGGCTCATATAGCCTGCAAGCCTGCATTCATGAGAAGAAATTTGTTTCTTCTTTAGCTTATAAGCAGAGGAAAACAGGTAACGTGTTGTGTTGAATGAATCTAGTAACCTTCAATAAGACGACGTACAGCAGAACTGTTCTACCGTGTTGGGTGCTTGCTCAGGGATGCTTTAACGGGGATTTGTCGATTTTTCCTTGCCGCCATATACCCGAGGCCTTGGCGCCTTGTCAGGCGGTTCACTTCGCTTGGAGGATTCGCGTAACCAATAGAAGGTCGTTGCCAGTTCGTTGACCCTCACGTACCAGATCGCATAAACCGCATCATCGAAGCGCGCCCGAAATGTTTCGCAAATTTCCCGTCCACCCCGCCAAACCTATGCTGGTCCTGCTTCCGTTCTATATCTAAGTCGTGTGCTTCGAATTCGCCCCTCCCAGACTCGTTGGTGGTTGTCCTTGTTCTGTGTCAATCATGAAGCAGAGCCTTGGGATTCAGTTCTCCAAGTGAACGCTTTCGCATCATCGAGACCCCACACGGGCATTACGCACAACGACGGCAACCTTCGGGATTAATTTAGACTGAACATTGAGTAATGCGGATATGCTGCGGAATGAACTTAACAATTCAATCTGCTGAGCCATGGCGAGCACCCTATTTGCTCAGCTCAGCCGCATAGACGCGCAGACTTAACTAGTGACTAGTAGCTAGAGTTCGCCAGCACTTCTGTACCACCCCTTTTAGTCTCGTTTTCCTCGCCATCTCTACCTCCTTAGCGCCCCCTTTCTATTTCGGTTCCAGTAGCTCCGTCCTGCCACTCGAACGGGTGCCTTGATGGCTGCTGGGCGCTTAGCGCTGCGACCCAATGCTCGACGTCGCGTACCGCGTCGGCCCAAAGTCCCGCGCAGCCGCCTTCGTAAAGAGTCGGAGAGTTTTGAGGAACGGTCGGATTGGGCGGAGAGCGAGGAGGAAGAGGGGCAAGAGGGCACAGGGGAGGAAAATCGGGGATGGACGGAAGCAGAAGAGACGACGGGAGGCGGCGGTGGCGGAGAGAGTGAGCGAGAGGACGGTGCCGACAGCGGCGACGAGGGCAGCTTGGCGTCGCAATCGACATACCTTATGCTCAACCCGTTCGCCGTGCGCGAGGAGGTAAGGCGGATGGGCCGGCGGAGGTGAGGCGAAGCGGCCAGCAGAGGACCTCAGGCAAAGCGGAAGATAAATTTGCGCCCGTCAATTCTTTTGTTTCTTCAGAACCTCACTGATCCGCGCCCACGCGATCATGTTCTCTCCCGCGCTTTCCCCCCGCGCGCAGGTACAGCCCGTTCTGGAGGCCGCCGTGGCGCTGGGGCTGGACTTGGCGGGCGGGGCGGAGAGCGGCGGGACGGGCGGAGAGGGCGGGAAGGTGGCGGCGGCGGAGTTTTATTCAGCGGTGGACCGCGTGAGGGACGCGGTGGGCGCAATGGAGGCGGAGATAGAGCGCAGCCGACAGCTGCTCACGTCAGCCATGGAGGTTCTCGCGGCCGCTTTCGACAAGCACGTCGGAGCAGTCGAGTGCGTCTTGCCACCTCACGCGCCCTTCCCCGCTCACGCGCCGCCCGCGCACTTCATTCGCCACAAAAGAATGCACCCCTCCCGCACGCAATCCATCTTCTCTCCACCATCCTCTTGCCTCTCGCTCCCCTTGTCAATGCTCGCTTCCGTTCTCCCCTCTCCCCGTTTCCCGCTTCGCTCCCCTTCGCGTTTCCCCAGTGCGCTGGAATGCTTTCCCCCCGCGGCCGTCACCTCCCTCTCCGCGCTTGGCGGTCTGCCGCCCCTCCCCGAGCTCCGCTGTCCCCCCTCACCCGCCTCCGCATACGCACAGTCCGGCTGCGAGGGCTCGGCGCGCTGGGGGGAGCGCGCGGCGGAGGGCGAGATGGTGGCGCGGCTGCAGGCGATGGCGAAGCGGCTGTTCGAGAACGGCGAGCGACACACGCTGTTCCACACGTACAAGTGAGCGCCCTCTCTACTCCCCTCGCTGCCTCCTAATCCCTTCACGCGCCTACGCGTCTGCGCGTCCCTGCGCATCCCTGAACCCTGCGCGCAGCTGATCCGTGGTCAGAGCTGCGCATGTGCGCGGCCTCACTCGCACTCATCTCCTTGCCTCTGCCCATCGGTCTCCGCCCATACCACCCATTCACCACCAGGCGACGGCGGGGCGCCGTGGTGCGAGCAGCACTGGCGGCAACGGGAGTGGGAGAGGCGCAGCGGGAGGGGGCGGGCCAGGCGGAGTGGTCGTGGGAGGAGGCGGGGCAGCGGCTGAGGGAGTGGCGCGCGCACCTTCGATTCGGAGTACGTCTCTCCCCCTTCACTCCTTCCCTCACTCGCGCTCGCTGGCTCACCTTCCACGCGCCTTTCCGACATTGCCCATTGCATGGCGCTGTCTGCCCTCACCCGCCCGTCGTCCCACCCTTGCTCCAACTCCCTCGCCCTGGACTTCCCCCCTCCGCCCTTTCCCCTTTCCCCCGCACCCTCCGCAGCTGGCGCTGTGCTTGGCGGAGCAGCGGCTGAGCGAGGCGGTGCTGGGCGGCATGGGGCATCTGCGGCAGGAGTGCGTGGACGACCTCCTCGCGCCCTCCTTCGCCGCGCTGCTCGCCCTGCCAACCCTCCTCGCCGCCTCGCCCCCCTCGCTGCACGCGCTGCTGCACGCGCTCTCCACGTTCCACGCGCTTAGGGATGGCTACCCGCAGGTACAGGCGGGGAGAACGTGGGGGGCGTGGACTGGGACAGGCAGCGCCAGTGGGAGATTTCAACGGGCGATCCTCCACTGGCGCTGCAGGGAAGGCGCAGGTGACGTTTGAGTTTGCTCCACGCCTACGCTGGGAAGCGGCATACTCGAAAACATTGGCTCCGTTATTCGAAACGTGAAGGCCTGCCATGGACTCACGTCGTGGTGCTTCCTTGCTCCCTCCCTCCTCTTCTCCCCGCCACCCACTCTTCTGCGCTCCCACTCACCCTCCCCCTCCCCCTCCCCCTCCCCCTCCCAATCCCCCTTCCCCCTGGTGCGCAGGTGGCGGAGCTGTACCCACGGCGCACGCAGAGGCAGCGGCGGCAGTACCTGGAGGTGCTGGCGCGCGTGGCGGGCGTGGCGAGGAGCGCCTTCCTCGCCACTGAGACCGCCTGGGCCCACCCCGCCCTGCTCTCCCTGCTGCTGGACGGGCAGGGCAAGGGGCAGGGCAAGGAGCAGGCCACGGGGCAGGGGCAGGAGGAGGAAGGGACGCAGGCAGGGAGTGAGAGGGGCGAGGAGAAGGAAGGGGCGGTGGTGATAACGGTGGTGGCGCAAGGGGAAGCAGGCGATGGTGGTTCTCAGCAGGAGGGTGCAGCTGAGGCAGAGAAGGTGGAGGCGGAGGGAGGAGAGGGCGGTGGTGGGAGTGGAGACGGCACAGCGGACACGGTGACAGCAGCAAGTGGCACCACTGCTGCGCCAGCAGGCATGGGCGTGGGGCAGCGCAAGGGACGCAGTCTCTTGCTGCGGTATGCATCTCACACACGCTGCCTCCCTCTGTGCCTGCATTCCGTCCCTGCCCTCCCTACCTGTCTTCCATCCCTACCCTCCGTGCCTGTGCTCCGTGCATGCCAGCTTCCGTGCCTGCCTTCTGCGCATGCCTTCCGTGTCTGCCCGCCTTGTCATCACTTGAAGCGTGCAGTCTCCTCCTGTCTTCGCAAGTCCAAGGCGTCGCCCTTCCCTTCTCTCTGGCGGCACACGCTCACCCTGTACCTCCCTCTGGGCTCGTTCCACCTACCCGTTCGACTCCACCTGCCCTTCCACTCCACAGCTTCCTGTCAGTGCGGCCACCGCAGCCGGCACCCCATATGGCAGCGACAGCAGGGGGGCGAGGGGCGGGTGTGGTGGCGTGCTTCCAGCCCATCACAGGCGCCGTGGACCCCGTCACACTGCGCCTCCTCGACACCTTCCACCTCCTCTGCTCCCAGTCAGTCACACCCGCTCTCTGCTTTCGCGCTCTCTATTCTCAACCCCCCACCATCTGCGTCCCCTCCCCCCATTCCCCAACTACTCCGTCCACTCGCGTATCCATGACCTCTCTCGCACCAATGCATGTGTGCAAACCTGTTCCTGCCTTCCCATCCTCTCATCCTCACACCTCACTACACTACACAGCACCATATAGCACCATAACCTGTCAAAATCCACTTGTTTCCTCCTGCTGCGCCGTCCCATCCCCCCCCCCCCCTGTGTGCCCCACAGCGACCTGCCGTACCGCCGGCTGCTGGAGGAGGTGTTGGACACGCACCCCACGCCTGCGCCTGCTGCCTCCCACGCCTCCTCCCCCTGCGCCTCGCCGCACCCCGCTCTCGCCTTGCGTGACCAAAAGCCGCCCACCCCCCACTCCGTGTGCAGCAGTCCTGCCACCAGCTGCTGGAGTGAAGCCTCCTCGCTGCCGCTGCCCGGCCAGCCCGGGGTGGGGGCGGGCGGGGGGGTGGGGAGGCGGGTGCATGCGCGCATGGCGATGGTGATAGCGGGGAGCATCCGCGGGCTGGTGGGCGCGCTGGAGGCGCATGCGGTGGGCAGCCGGGACGACCTGGCGCTGAGCGAGCTCTTCCTCATGAACAACCTCCACCACATCGCCTCCCGCCTCTCCACGTGAGCAGCGGAGCTCCCAAGGGAGGGGGATGGAGGAGCGATAGGGTGAAGGGCAGTGAGGGTGGGAGGTAGGGGTTGAGATATGGGAAGGAAGTGAAAAGAGGGGACAATGGGGGAGGAAAAGGGCACACCAGGGTTCGATGAGTACATCATGATGTGTGCATGTGCGCATGTGCCCATGTGCCCATGTGCCTATGAACCTCCGCCCTTGGCATGAGCAGGTCCAGTGTGGGCAAGCTGCTGGGGCTGGCGGAGGTGGGCGCGCATGCCAAGCACGAGGAGAGGCACCGCGACCGCTTCCTGGAGCTCTCCTTTGCCAGGGTACGACCTGCCTGGTTGTACGCTGCTGAACAACAGTGCGCAATTCTCATGGTGCCGATGCTTGTGCTGGTCTCTGTGACCTAACACCAGTTTGATAAGCGACCCTCTGGGCCTATGCAGCACACCTGACCTGGTTTGCACTGATCCCTGCCCCTCTTCCCCCACTCCCCCCGGCCAGTTCCACTGCCTGGTCACCAACGACAGACTGCGCAGACCCGATGCCATCCGTCGGTGAGCACCTTGTTAAGTGCCTTGTCGCTTCTTCCCTCAGATGGTTGAGTGCCTTTGCAGCTGGTTGTCTTATGTGTCTGTGTTTGCTCTGTATGGCAGATTAGTGGAGTTCTGCAGTGTGCTGGGAGATGTGCTGGCAATGCAGCAGACCTGGGTGGTGCCCGACCCCCACAATGCTGCCACGCTGCGATCTGCCCTGCGCTGGGGCCTGCAGCAGATGCTCCAGGCATTCCTCGCCAAACACAGGTGTAGCCTCGATGCTAGTCATGTCTGTCTCAGTCTCAGCAGAACAAGAACTGCTGACTTACACCTGCCACACGTGCTTTGCTATGTGTTTGACTGCCCCTCTTCTATTGCATTGCAGGTCCGTGCTTCTTGCGACAAATAGCATTCCGGAGATTGACGATGCGTGGCAATTAATATCTGAGGTAAATCACAGCTTCCGTGTAGCATGAGTAGAGCTGGTTCGAATGGCAAATATGCATCTTGATGATGGTCAACAATTGAATGTACTATGAATGTAATGTCAAAATTGATACATAATGTTGGTTTGAAGTGCAATTACATTATCGTTCAGAATCAATGCATTCTGAGAATAGCATAAGCATGAGAACCACAGGGAGTGCATGTAGAGGTGTAGATATAAATAAACTATAGATTAGGGACAGGTGGATTATAACGAATGAAATAAGTATGGGTATGAAGATATTGAGCTCGGTAGACTTGGGGTTTCAGTTCGGACTCTCAAATGGCTAGCACCTGGGGTCTCGTGATATGAATTGAGCGGGAAAGTGTTGACATCGAAAGCATTGCCTTGCTTGCAGGTTATTCTAGCACGCATAATGGCAGAGACTAAGTTGAAGCTGAAGAGCTCAGACAATGAGATTTTCGAAGTTGACCAAGAGGTAGCTCTTCAGAGCGACACTGTGAAGAATATGATTGAGGATGTCGATGTGTCTTCTGCCAGCGAGCCGATCCCTTTGCCAAACGTCTCTGGGCGAATCCTGGCAAAGGTGATTGAGTATTGCAAGTATCACGTGGATGCGAAGAAGCCCGGCTCCATGGAGAAGCCTGCCATCACGGACGACGAGGTGAAGGCGTGGGATCAAGAGTTTGTGAAAGTCGATCAAGCTACCCTGTTCGACCTGATATTGGTGCGTATCCACCATCCTGTTTTGATGCATCATCCATCGTCCAGTCTCAGTCTCAGGCCGCGGTGCTGGCATATTATCTACGCCTTCGTACTCACAGCAATCGCTCTTTCTTGATTCATCATCGATTGTCAGGCTGCAAATTATTTGCACATCAAAGATCTGCTGGAGCTTACATGCCAGACTGTTGCTGACATGATTCGAGGAAAATCGCCAGAAGAAATCCGCAGGACATTCAACATAAAGAACGATTTTACTCCAGAAGAAGAGGAAGAAGTTCGTCGCGAGAACCAATGGGCGTTCGAATGACCTACCGGATTTTGCCCGGACCAGCAAGGTGCTTTTTGAGAATGCTCTTTGGGCCACGTCTGTCTTATCCATGCGTACTTAATCAGCCTCCTTTTTTGCGTTGCAGGATTTTTTCCGGCACCGTACTTGTGCATACTGACGTGGTATGACCGTTAGTGAAAATTATACAAGATGTGGCTAGTATCGCATGGGCTGCTGAAGGATGCGTTTCTTTGCAAAATTCAAGGGAGCTTGCCTTGGTACGACGAGGTTAGGAGAATTTCAGTCTGCCATGCATGGCAGGTAGGTACTACCAGTAGATGGAGGACGATACAGAACAGAACACTCACTGGTTTATATCTTGTGAAATGCTGTTGCCAAAGCATTCTACAGTGTATATCCTTCTGCCGTACCTTGATCTTGAGGATAAACCACTTCATCGTTCCACGCAGGGCCTCAGATATCAGGAAAAAATCCCTGAAATTCCTGATTTTAGTCATTTGTCATCAGCCTACCTTTAAAAACCAGTGTTAAAACCGAAATGCAAATTAGTGAAGGCGGGTCCAGCTTGAATGAGTGCTAACAACAAGATCAGCGAGCGACACAATTTTTGACATCAAACTTACATTTTTTTACTGTTTCGGACACAGCGGGCATCCAGATCGAACACATCTGATTGGTTCCCGCCAGAATTGATGAACTAACAGCTCTTTGTCCGGGGTCGCATCTCTCTCTCTCAAACCTGCACGACAATGCCTGGCGATCGCCTCAACAAGTCCAAGCGATTTGGGCCCAGCTTCAGGTTCAAGTTGGGCCTGGGTGAAGTGCTATCAATTCACTAGTTCATTTCGACTCTATAGTTAATAGTAGCTTGGTTAGGCATAGATGATATGTGAACCTAGAGCCTCATAGCTTCATTGCGCCCCCCGGTCCCCTCTCCCGTACCGTCGCCTTACGTTGCCCTCCCGTTGCCTTGCCGTCGCGCGTCACGACGCCCTGCCGTCGCGCTCAAAATCTTCCCGTCGCATATTTCTCACGCGCACGATCACCCCTCCCATCTCTCTCGCGGGCACGATCTCCCCTCCCATCTCACTCGCGCTCACGATCTTCCCGTCACATCTGCCTCACGCGCACGATCACCCCTCCCATCTCCTCTCTCCCGTCGCCTATCCTCTTTCCCGTCGCCTTCCTCTCTCCCGTCACCTATCCTCTTTCCCGTCGCCTTCCTCTCTCCCGTCGCCTATCCTCTCTCCCGTCGCCTATCCTTTTCCCGTCGCCTGTCCCTTTCCCGTCGCCTATCCTCTCTCCCGTCCTAGTATCCTCTCTCCCGTCGCCTATCCTCTCTCCCGTCGCCTATCCTCTTTTCCGTCGCCTTCCTCTCTCCCGTCTATCCTCTCTCCCGTCGCCTATCCCTTTCCCGTCGCCTTCCTCTCTCTCGTCGCCTATCCCTTTCCCGTCGCCTTCCTCTCTCTCGTCGCCTATCCTCTCTCCCGTCGCCTATCCTCTCTCCCGTCGCCTATCCTCTCTACCGTCGCCTTCCTCTCTCCCGTCGCCTATCCTCTCTCCCGTCGCCTATTCCTTTCCCGTCGCCTTCCTCTCTCCCGTCGCCTATCCCTTTCCCGTCGCCTATCCTCTCTCCCGTCGCCTATCCTCTCTCCCATCGCCTATCCGCTATTCCGTCGCCTTCTTCTCTCCCGTCGCCCTCCTCGTCGTCATCGCGCACGCCCCAAAATCTCCGATCGTCGCCCCTCACATCTCGTTTGGTAGTTCCTTGTCTCGCGCAATCGTCAACCACCTCATCACCGACGGCCCATCTCGTTCCACCCTCGCCGCGTCACTCTTCCCTCTCGCTATATCGCTTCGCCGCCATTTCCGTTCCGTCGCCCTCGTTCTCTCTCCCAGTTGCCCTCGCTCCACCTCATCTCACCCTCCCCAATGCCCCCCCCATCTCCCTACCATTCCGCGGATTTTGCTCACGCATCTCTCCTCTCGCGTCCTCGTTTCTGTTGCACTAACTGTCTCTTCTCGATACACCTTGAAATTCTCTGTTTTTCGCCTCTTGGTTTTCACATGTTGTTATTGCCACCCTAGCAGGTCCATGTTGCTTTGCGTGAGTTGGACTTGCTTTGCATGAGTTGGACATGCTTCACGATGTGAATTTGGCACTGATTGAATGTAAATGAGATTCGCGCGTCGCAGGCTTTCGAGCGACGCATTTGCACATGCTTGCTGCGATTTTTGTTTGAGAAGAAATTTGGAGACTCAGTATCATATGTGCCTGGAAAAAAATACAGAACAGTACTTCAACTTTCAAGTGGACCAAACTAGAAGGGGGGGGTCACTATTTTGCCTACGGGCTTTAAGAATTTAGTGGGACTGATCTTTCAGCCTTTTTGTTAGGCCACACTGAAATTTCAGTTTTTTTTTTCCCTAGTACACTGATGCCACAACGTTGAAACGAAACCAACACTGAAAGCGAATCTTACCTGTGTCGTGTGGATTTGACCGCAATTACAGGGAATCTCTGATTCCCGCGGTGTGGGCACCCCGTGGCGAGACGAACCTGTGAAATTTTGCCTCAAATTCACGATTGAGAAGTGCATTGTTGGCGCGGCGCCACACATCATTGGGCCGTTTTGCTGTAGCATCTTTTCTTGGCCAATCCGAACGTGGCCACCATGTGGTGCTGGAGGGCTGCCAACGTTCCTGCCCCGTTGCCATCACCTGCAATGCGACGCGTTAGGATTGGCCCGTGCTGTGCTGGCAAACACCGTGCCATCCATCTTGACGTCAAGGTGGGGAGGGGAGGCTTCCACGCCGCCCAGCCCATGCAACGTGGTTGCCATCCAGGGGGCCCTTCTTCTCCAAGCTTTGCATCCGAAGATGGGATTCCCCCTTTCTTCCTAGTGTACCAAGAGGCAGCCAGCCGTGGCCTGTGCTTTGCCTGTGCAATCCTTTGCATCTACTCTCGTCGTCACTAGCTTAGATGTGAGGCCGTCCCCGCTGCTAACCATGGGTGAACACCTTGACGGCACGGAATCAAACGGCGAACACGGCGGTGATGCGCATCGCCAGCCGCCTGTAGTCCGTTCTGACGCAGTTACCGGCCTCGATTTATTGTTTTCGAGCATAGCGGAAGTCAACGACAACGAGAAGCCACCAGATCTCGAGCCGCCCGACAAAATCCCGTTCGAACCCATCGATGAGGAGGGTTGGTGTGCATCCCCGACAGCGCCAGCGACAGGACAGCTCGCCGCCTCCAGCTGAAAAACGGGCTCCCGAACCCGTGGCCAAGAAATTTGGCCAATACATGCAGTCAACGCTGCCATGGTTTACGAAGGGCGCCGACGACGGAGCTACCCCGCCTTCACCAGCCGACCAACGGTCGTCGCCCGTGATTGCGGGCCCGCAGGAGTCGCCATCGGTTCCAGGTCCTTCTAAGCAGTCAGGACGCGACGCGATTTACGCCGAGTCTCTGTATAAGTACAAGACCGAGTGGCTAGACATGTTTTCGTGGCTCATTCTTTTGCGGCAATCTGACGGTCTCCCATCTTTCAAGTGCTCTATCTGTACCGAGCATGCAGGTTACGCTGGAAAATGCGGGAAGGGCGGGAGGGGCGCCTCGGACGTACAGACGCAGGCTTTCAAGAGGCATGCTGCAACAACGAAGCACAAGGAGGCGGTCAAGCACCAGAAAAAGCTTCTTGCTGAAGCTGGCCAGCAGCCACGGATCAACGGTGACAACCTCGCTCGCGACACCGAGAAGGAACGCGTCATCGAGCTGTGCGACTCCCTGCTCTTCGTAACCAAGCAAGATGCACCCATTGAGTTATGGGTGCAACTTGTTCGCTATCTCGCGGCGAAGAAGGTTCCGGGATTCCCCGCGAAAGGATACGGAACGTACTACACAACGTGAGTACCCGCTGTCTTTCTATTGTTCGTGTTTTGATTTTGTTTACCTTTTGAATAAGCACTAACATTGACTCACATGCTCCGCAGGTACGGCTTTGGGCAATTAACACAAGCGATTGCCACGTGGTTGCACACAACGCAACTCCAACACATCCTTACAAGTCCTTACGTCGGAGTTACATGTGACGAGAGCACGGACAGGTGCCGGGGAAAGCACATAATCATTTTCGCGACCTTCATCCGTGAGAATCGCGTCGTCACCGAGTTCCTTGCCCTTCTGACCGTGGAGAAGTGCGACGCCGCCTCTCTCCTCTCAGTGTTTGTGTCCCACCTGCAGGTCCTCGGCATCGAGCTTGCCAAGATCGCTGGTATGAGCACCGATGGCGCGAGTGTGATGATGGGAAGCAAGAATGGTCTAGTCGCTCGACTGCGCCTCCGCATGCCGCATCTCGTCTCAAGCCACTGCATAGCCCACAGGTACGTTCGCTTTTGTACTAGCTCCCCTCCTGCTTATCCGTGTCTCGGCCTTGCTGATACCCCGTGTTTTATGTTTGTGTTGTGATGTGCCTGCAGGGAGGCCCTCGCGGCAAAAGATGCAGCGGAGGCAATCCCCGAGTTCGACATGGTGGACGGGCTGATACGTCAAGTCGCAGAGTATCTCGGCCGTTCCAGCCCCTGGCACCAACGTTTTCTGGAGCTGCAGGAACTCTTCACGGCTACGAACCTGGAGCTTCAAGGCATTCATCAAGTCCGATGGCTCTCCAGAGGTGATGCCGTTCTGCGAACGGTGACGGTCTTCCCTGCGCTCATCGTCATGCTGTACGAGTGGGACGAAACTCTGTACGAGATCGCCACCAGCTACAGGTTCCATTTCTTGTTGTTCTTCCTTGCAGACGTGCTCGAGCAGCTGAACATCTTGAACAAGTCCTTCCAGCAGCGAGAGGTGAGCATCAAGTCATTTCAGCGTGTACTGCACTTCTCATGATGTCTAGTTCTTGTATGCGTAGCTTCTGTGTGTGTATGTCAATGCATTTATATTGTGGGAGCTTAAGCACAACACTGATTGTTTGATAAATCACCCCCCCGGCTCACTGTCCTTGTGTCCCTCTGTGTTATTTCTAACGGCCTCTCAAAGCTTGACATCGCAGGTGTCCACGCGCAGATCAGGAGAACGATGTCTCACCTGGAGACCCGCTACGTCGACTGCGGCGACGATTTTGGAGGCGGGTTGAGTGCGCGCCTGTCCCCGTTCATCATGAAGTACGGGCATGACAGTGACAAGCCCGAGGTGACGGTGCAGGGTGTGGACTCTGACGGTCGGCCGACCACACACAAGTTCCACCTGCATGAGAACCCAAGCGAGGACTACCCAACTCTGGGAACACACGACGCCTGCATCGATCTCTGCACCTCATTTGCCGAGACGCTCGTCAGTAACCTCAGCAAGAGGTTTGAAGACTTGGACTCCCTTGTGGGAGTCCGGCTCTTCATGCCAGACGAGTACCTTCCTGGGAGAGCGGAGCGCCACAAACAGTGTCTCGAGTGGCTCATGTCACTCGTCTCGCTGTTCAGGGCAGAGGAGGCTGACCACATCCTTCCAGGTATGTGCATTTTGTGACTTTTGTTGTCCATGATTCTCTTTGTTCCTATGTTTCATCAGTGCCATGCATACACGGGTATACCATGCCAAGCCATCCAATCTAACTGTCAATCTCCCTTCTGTTTTGTGTGGCAGGGATCGACAAACGGCGGGCGATCAAAGAACTGCGTGCCTTCTGCCCCATCCTTGCAGGTGCCCCGAAAAATGAGCGAAGCTTCCACGCCGGGCTAACAGCGATGCTGAAGACAAGCGACTGGACGACTAGCTACCCCAACCTCGTGCGTCTGTGGGTGGTTGTCACTGTGCTGCCGCTGAGCACAGTGGAATGTGAGCGCGGGTTTTCCTGCCAGAATATCATCAAATCGTGGCAGCGTGGGAGCCTCAAAGACGCTCGGCTTGAAGATCTCGTCACGATGTCGCTCCTCGACTACGAGCCCGACTACAACGAACTGGTGAAAATCTGGCGCACCTACAAGAAGCACCGACCATTTGGCAATGTGGCAGCACCTCTAGCAAGAGATGGGGAGGGCAGGGGAAAGGAGGCACTTGAGGATGAGCGGGAAGAACCAAAGGCGCAGGGGAGTGATGATGAGTCTGATTCCGATGCTGATGCATGCATGACTCCTCTTAGATAAGAGCAGCTGCTCTGTTCTAGGAAGCTACTGTACTCCTAAATTTAAAATGAGGACTCATAATAGTTTCAGCGTTTTTTCTAGAGGAACCCTGATGGATCAGTCTCTTTTTTAGCACAACACTATCATTTCAGGCTTTTTTTTTTAAGAACACTGTTAATCAGTGTTTACACACAAGGGGACCCTGAAGGGTATACGACCCTAAAAGTGAATCTGAGGCCCTGGTTCCACGTACCTAGTGTGTTGGAATAACCGAAAGGTTATCATAACATTCCTGAAGGCTCTCCACTCGCGCGTCACTCCATAACAAAGCAACGCGCCTGTATCAGTATCGCAATAGCTCATATAGAGCATGCGGAAGGTCGAGGGTCACCCGAAGGTCAACAGTCGAAGACAGTCAACGGTCGTGCCCCTTGACTGCCCAGTAACCGCACTTGGTAATTACGCGCTGCAACACGGTAACTGTCAAGAATAGCAATAGTCGTGGTTACTGTAGCAATGTAATTCAGTTAATAAGGGAATGTACCCCTCAGAGTACATGGCTAGCTAGGATTGCTATTTATTCCTTGTACCACTATCCTTTAATCATCTTGTTCTCTTTCAATCTTATCAACAAGGTCACTCAGAGACTTTATAGTCTTTCCTTAAACTTAACAGCCTTATCCTGTTCACTACGATCCTTCACCTATAACATCATGGTATGAGAGCTAGAGTGGATTATAAGGACTGCTAAGATTCTCGTTCTCTCTAGAACAACCTCTTTATAAATTACTCGTTAAACAATTACAAACTCTGCATCACCATGGCTCCTGAAAAGGGGACTGCAGATTCTCCGGGCCCACCACCAGCAACACCCACTGCGCCATCAGCGGTGACTTCCGTCAGCGCCGCTCTCGTTGAGCAGCTGGTCGCCCGCATCAACGCTCTCGAGAGCCATCAAGCCATGAGCATCGATGGCTCGAGCTATGCACGTGGAGTTGCTGGACTCCCTCTCCCTGGAGAAGACCGCCACGTCAACTCCGAGAGGTCATTCACCTTCGACAACCGTCAAGCTTCAGCTCCTGCGCAAGACAGTCAACATCGCACAGAAACAATTGCGACAATGCAGACAAAGTTTGTTCTAACTTCAAAGCTGAAGAAATCAGTTCCCTTCGACGGCAAGGAATTTTACACGTGGAGCTTCGAGTTCGAGCTCCTCGCGACAACTGCGCAAATCTGGATGTACTACGACGGAAGCTTAAAGTTTCCGACGGAGGGCACCATCCAAGAGAAGAACTAGTACTACCACGAGTCTCTTCTCGCGTACACCACCCTCCTCCGAAATATCTCTCCCGCCAAACAGCTTGGCATTCGCTCCTACAAATCAGAGTGGGCACCCGCATACTCTTCTTGGGAGCACCTGCGCAACTCATACATGGCAACGGATCTCGTTACTATGAGTCGCCTACTCAGCCAACTCACATCGGTCAAAATGCAACAAGGGGAGAAGGCGGGACCTTACATCAATCGGTGCCGCAATCTGCGCGACCACATCAAGAAGTGCGGCGGAACCGTTCCCGACGATATGTTCGTCTCCATGGTCCTTTCGGGCCTTGGACCTGATTGGCGACAGTGCCAGTCGTTGCTCCGTGCTCGAGAAACCGTCTCCGAATCCGCCTTGTGCGCCACGCTGCTCTCAGAGCAAAAGGAAATCGACCTGTACAACGAGAAGAACACCAAGCGGGAGAAGTTAGTCTTCTACGTTGGAACAACTGAAGGGGAGCAACACGGCAAGAAAGGAGCTTTCTGCAAATACTGCAAGAAGCCTGGGCACACTATCGATCGTTGCTACAAGCGAAAGGCCGCCGACGAAAGGCGCAACAACTTCGCCAGTCAGCAGCCTTCGGCACCCTCGGCCTCTCCTGCTTCAACCGCAACCCTGTCACCACCTTCAGTGGCAAGCACTTCTCAAACTCCTGCGCGCATCTCCAACAAAGACAAAGGCAAGGGAACGATCATGAGCTGTATGGCACGGCGCCGCAGAGGCATTCATTCCTACGACAACATCGAATACCCGCCTATCGCGCCCATTAAACCCATTGCACCCAGTCTAGAAAACGACCCTACCATCCACAGTTGGATCGACCGTCCAACCAACATCCCACCTGATTTCGAGCTGCCCCCGCCAACGCCGGAATCTCCTCCCAGCATTTCGGCGAACAGGTACTTCGCTCTCTCGCCATACTCCGGCGACTTCGATCGCGTCATCACACCGAAAATCGCCAACATCGCGCGAAAGAGCCGCGAGAACATCAATACCTGATACCCGGACAGCTGCTGCGGACAACACATGGTGGGATCACCAACGTTCATCAGCAACTCAAAACGCATGCGACGACCGTGCGAAATTACAGTTGCGAACAACAGCACACTCAAGGCATACGACATCGGAGAAGTTTACCTTGAAGCTGATGACACCAAGTTCACCATCCACATCGGTGATGTGCTCGTCGCCCCAGATCTGCGTTACAACCTGCTCTCATCGGCTCAACTCATGCGGTGCGGAGTCGACATTCGCAGCAACTGCAAGGACAAAGCCTTTGAGCTTTTCTACAACGGCAAGGCGATTGACGATGACAGAGTCTTCGTCCTGCAGTTCTCAGCCTAGGGCACCACTGGAGATTCTGACCGCACCTTGCTGCTCAAAACAACTCCCTCAGAGCCGCCAACATGGTCGCATCCAACCGAAATGGACCTCGAGCGACCTGCTTCCGACGGTCTTCTTCGGCTTCGCACCGTTCCAACTGCCTCGACCTTCAACCCAGCTGAGACCGGACCTGCATCAATGGAAGCAGATAGCGGCACGTCAGCACCTGCGGAACCAATCACCGAAGAAAGCGAAAAGGTTGAAACAGGATTGGGCAGTCCCGGTCCAGCAGTCGGCCCATTGGGAGAAATTCTAACGCCAGAAGAAGCAGCTGCAGAAGGACGGGACACTATCTTGGCATCCGAAGGCGAGGCCACTGCTCCAACAGATGCTGGCGCTGCCACTGGAGGCGACTGGGGAACTGGAGGCTGGGGAACCGGAGGCGGCTGGGGAACCGGAGGCGGCTGGGGAACTTCAACAAGCGAAGGAGGATGGGGGCAAGCCGCCCCTGCCTATCCCGAAGCTCCGGGACTCCCTCCTGCGGAGATTACGGCTGTTGACCCATACTGGGCAACACGTGGCACCAGCTGGGGCGGACCTCCTCTCCCGGATCAATACGCTCCTGACACACCAGAACCGATGCAAGAAGAATCAGAGGAAGAGGTAACTTATGAATTCTTCGAGGAAGCAGCAGAATTACCAGAACCTACCGAGGAGCCGCCGTCACCAGAACAAGGACCTAAACAGATCGAGGTCATCGGCGCCGAATACAGTTACTTCAGAATTCCCATGAAAGGCCTTCCCGTTGCTGACTGGCCCAAGCCACCACCATCCCAGTATCTTCTCGTCACCGGCGAACAAGTTCACCCCGGCGACACCGACGACATCATCGGAATTCCCCGCGCGCTTCTGGAACGAGACTCCATTCGGGCCTTCGCAACTGACACTGATGCCGCCACCGACATCGGACCTGAAAGGGAGCAGAACGACGCAGCAGAAAGGAACAAATACTATAAGAAGACAGTCGGGTACCGTGCGGAACCAGAAACATGGCACCAGCGACTCGGACACCCCTCGCACATCACGCTCAAGAATTCTCTGAAGGCCGGAGTTTTCGACGATGACGCGCTGCTTCTCCCTCAAGGCGGTACTCTCACAGCAGAATCGGCTGACCTGCCCTGCACCGTGTGCCCAACTGCGTCACTCGCCCACAAACCTTTCCCGGACTTACCTCCCGGCTACGAACGCTACAAGCCGATGGAGAAAGTCTACAGCGATTTCATGGTTTTAAGTCAAAGCGGGCTCGACGGCGAATCCTACACCCTCACCTTCATCGACGCTTCCACACGCTACGTTTGGGCAATCAACACCGACTGCCGCTCTCTTGCCTTTGAATGCTTCGTGACGTGGATGAAGCGGGCCGAACGCCAGTCTGGACTGAAGCTGAAAGCCTACCAGACTGACGGGGGTTTGGAGTTCTTCTCAACTGAGTTCAAGGAACTCTTCAAGCAGAAGGGGATTGAGCATCTGGTGTCCCTGCCCTACGCTCACGAGCAGCAAGGCGTGGCAGAACGGACAAACAGGAGCCTTGCCACCAGGATGAGGGCCCTGATGAAGCAGTCAGCCGTCCCAACCAGGTACTGGCCATTCGCGATGAACCACGCTGTCCGACTGCACAACTTGCTGTCATCCCAAAGCCTCGAGAACAACAACTCTCCCTACAGGGCTTGGACGGGCAGAAAGGCAGACACGCGTCTGCT